ATTTGTTGATTGATTTTTTGATTGATTGGTTGATTTGTTGATTGATTGATTGATTGATTTGTTGATTTGTTGATTGATTTTTTGATTGATTGGTTGATTTGTTGATTGATTGATTGATTGATTTGTTGATTTGTTGATTGATTTTTTGATTGATTGGTTGATTTGTTGATTGATTGATTGATTGATTTGTTGATTTGTTGATTGATTTTTTGATTGATTGGTTGATTTGTTGATTGATTGATTGATTGATTTGTTGATTTGTTGATTGATTGATTTTTTGATTTGATTGATTGATTGATTTGTTGTTTGATTTGTTGATTGATTGATTGATTTGTTGATTGATTGATTGATTTTCAGAAACATTCGTTCTTTAAACTCATGAACTGGGACGACCTTCTGAAGCGGAGACTGGAGCCTCCGTACAAACCTCAGCTGGTTGGTTGACTGTCTTCACTGTGTGTCCTGCACCTGCTGCAGGYGTCTCACCTCTGTCCCCCTGCGGGACGTCCTCCTTTGTCTCCTGGCAGCACTCCGAGGAGGACGTGAGCCAGTTCGACACCAGRTTCACCCGCCAGACGCCGGTGGACAGTCCGGACGACTCCACGCTGAGCCACAGCGCCGAGCTGGCCTTCGCCGTGAGGCTCTCTGCTTTCCTAAAGCTTAGTCTGCGCTCTTATTTTGAAATGAACTAACCCGCGTTTCCTCCTCAGGGGTTCTCCTTCGTGGCTCCGTCGGTCCTGGAGAGTCTGAAGGAAGGGTACTCCTTCGAACCCAGATCTCGTCACGTGCGGCGCCACAACAGCAGCCCGCGCACACCTGTCAGGTAGCTTCAAAATAAAACCTGTTAGCTGCTCTTCAGAATAAGAGTCTGCTCCTGTCATTACCACAGAAGAAATCCTGAATTACGTTTGTTTCCTTTTCTTTAGCCCCATGAAGTTCTCTCCTGCCGGACCCTTCAAGTCGGCTCCGGAGRGCGAGCCGGACCTTTTCTCCCCCACGTCCCCCCCGGCGGCTCCCTCCCGGGTCCCACTGGAGAACGGACCCACCACCCAGCCCATCAAGACGCCATCCAGGAACAAGAAGAAGAAAGGACACCAGAGATGAAGGTGGCTCAGGTCTCGTGTTGTGGGGTTCCGCGGCTCCTGACCCGGCTCTGCTGACCCGGCTCTGCTGACCCGGCTCTGCTGACCCGACTCTGCTGACCCGACTCTGCTGACCCGGCTCTGCCAAGCGGTACTGGACCGGATCAGGTTATTTATCAAGCTTTAGTTGATGTGTTTTGGACAAAGGAAAAACTTAATTCTAATTTCTCTAAGAARCGCTCCTGAAGGGCGGTCAGGGTGGGGTTGACGGGTGAAATCCCAGCCGGGGGGCAGTTATTAGAGGTTTTTGGTGTAGTTAGTCCCTGGAAGGCTGACGGTTAATTCCAGCACCGGTGACGGACGGCTTGATTGAACTTTAGATTATTTCCTGCAGAGCTTAAAAAGCTGAACTGGACCTGAAGATTTGAATCTCCTCGCTGCAGCTGCTGGACTTTTTTTGTGTGTGTGTGTAAATCTGATCAAGAGTTGTTTAAAAGTTCAGCAACCTTATGACATCATCATGAAACTCGCTGCCTATTGGTGGAAAGAAGACGTTTGTTTTTCTAACCAATCAGAGCAGACGTGGCCTTACAGAGCTCTGCATGAG